CTATGGTTTAAACAAACCTTTCGCTTAGTCACGTGACTCAGGCGTTAGTTTCAAGAGGTGCAGCACCCGGTCGTCAGAGGAAGCGGTGCGTCCAGTTACGTAACCCGGCGTCCAGGGGTATCGCGGCGTCGGCGAGATCGCTCGCGGTGTTTTCCGAACACCGCGTGTGCAGGGAGCGTCGCGACGCGGTAGTGCCGCAACGCCGCTACGTCGCTACGCCGCGGCACGGTATGCGGCGTAGGTGTGCGGCCGCGCTCGCTGCGCCCCTATATATGCCCTCGTGTGCGCTTATGTAAGGTACATAAGGTAGGGACTCTAGGTACTATCTAGTATCTAGTAATACTAGGTACTGGGTACGCGCCGCGGACGCCGAATAGCGGTTCGCATATTCGGAGATGGCGTCGAGCGAAGCGCCCTCTCGCGGGCGAGCCTATTTGGACAATGTCGCCGATTCGCGCGCGCACGGGGGCATTTGGTCGCGAAAGACAGAGAAAAGGAGAATGGGAGCGAACGAGAGACGGAGAGACGAGCCGAAGGCGATCCCCACTCCCCCCATGCCGGTTCTTAGTCAAAGAGCGAAGGTTAAGAACCTTCGGGACGAATCACTTAGTCTAGATCCTCTCGAAGACCGGCGAGACGGGTCCACCTCGTCGCGGAGTCTTGCTCCTGGGTTCGGTACTTGGTCTTCGGTTGGCTGCGTATGCCCCTTCGAAAATATCCGACTTGAAAAAGGGGTAAATCATTCAAACTTGGAAGCTTATATCTAAAAAAGGTGAAAAGCGGTGAAAGAAAACGTGCTCCATCGGTGGGGTAAGTTGATTTTCAGATGTTGATCGAGACTTATTTTATTCATTTTTAAGTCTACGAGTTCCTGTGTTCTCTTAAATTTGAAGGCGTCGACGCGTTGTTTTCACGGTGTACTCTGTATATTGAGTTACGCCAACACCCGGTTATTAGCTGACAGGTAAATTCATATTTTCTGAGCTATTTTCTTCCCCTCCGTGACTTGACCAAACTGCGTCGGAAACAACCTTTCCCGCGCCTACCGCGTTCGGATCTCTTTTAACAAGGACGAACCATTTCCGTTTCTGATCTTGATACTTGTACGTCATTTTCCCCTAAGAGGCTTAAAACTCCGCGAAAGGATACCGATACTCAATTATCCTTCCCAGTGGTTTATTTCCATTTTTTTTTCGAAGCAATTTAGCCTAACTATCGCTATTTATAACAAATCAAGGCGTCCGGGGATCGTGGGGTTACTTCCTTTAGGTGCGGTCGACGATATAGACAGCCCGCTCCTGCTTTCTACATTTTTTTTTCTCTTTTCCCCGACATTTTGGCGCAGTAGGCGGAGGCTCGACCTCGCCGGATTGAGCACCACTGAGCGCAGCTGCCGCGGGTTGGCGCGGTGCGGCGCGGCGTCGCGGCGGCGGTATCTCCGCGTTGTCTGCTCCCTCACACCCTCGACTCGCGTCCCACGTGGGTGACGGTCGAAGGGGTCGCGCGGAATGAGGGGCCGCGGGGCTGCAGGGCCGGGGCGGGGCGGGGGGGGGTCGAGGGGCCGAGGGCTCCACCACCCACTGGCCATCTCTAGAACCTAGCGAAGCTACGAGGCTGCGAGAGCGCGGGGAGACCTGCGAGAGCTAAGAGGTGTTTTCGCCGGGAACCTTATGGGAGCCAAGGTAGAATTTCAGGCCGAATTCGCGCCACCGGCCGGCCTCGAACTTCGCGGTCCTCCTCCTGTGGGAACCCGCGAGTTTAGGATGGTTCGCGTGGGGAATTTTCAGGATGACGAGGATATGGGGTGGGGTACGGGTAAAGGAAGCAGGTGTGCGGGGGATGCGCGGATTAGCCCTGTTATTGTCGCCCTAGGCGTATTTCAGAGGATGGCGGCGGGTATCGTGGAGTTAGGTTAGGTTTGTCCGATAACACCGGGCAGTCATCCGAGGGACACCGACGAGACGAGATATGTCATGACGAGAATGTTTTCTTCGAGTATGCTCTACAAAATTTTATATTGGCAGGTAAGTTGTATACAACTTGAGGGGCTTTACGTCGATATTAATTATTCCGAATTTAATCCATCAGAGGTAACAACGGTTGATGTGAACGATATTTTGGATGATACACAAGGAGCATCGTTGTATCGCATGTATTGATGTAAATAATAATAAATGAATCAAAATGAACGTAGGGCATTCGGAGTTATTGACCTCACTTCTTGTTATGTTGACGCGAGTACAGCGGTAGAAAGATATAATTTTACTCTTAAGTTCAAGTTGTTGTATTTGATAAATCGAGATTGAGCTATTAATCAAGTGCGCCTCCTGTCAGCAATTTGTCATGTGTAAATTGAAATCTGCTTTCCCTGGTTGGTGAGCTCTGAATGTCCAAGTAGGATTAGTCGACGATATTGTTCTTCGATGTCTCTGTTATGAACAATTGTATAAGTCTATTTTAAATATCGGGGCTTTGGCGAAATGTTACAGATTCTGAAAATATCAACTTTGTTGAATTTTCCATTTCTGGCATAAAATGCTTATATGTTTCCGGATTAATTTCAGTAACCTACGGTTTTTCGTGGTTACTCGTAAAAGCTATTCCACTAATAAACCACAATTTCCCTTAAAGATATCGATCGTTATTTCTTTATATTCAGGGAGACCTATTTTTATCCTATAGTATGTGCATTATTATGCCTTTAAACTCGTGTATCTCCAGCAATGAGATTACTTCGCAACAATTATTCCAGCACTGAACACGTAACACTCGTCGGTTCACTTTGAAGCTCTTATTCGGACTTCTCGATTCTATTGTGTACAGAGTGTGATCAAACATCGCTACTCTGATCGGTTTGATTTCCACGTGGGTTGTGGGTCGAGCATCCTTGTGATGATATGTTTGTGCTTGTTATGTTAAGTTAAATATATGAGAAATTGGACACTTCCTCTCTGAATAAAAATTCATTTCGATCATCGGAATTAAATCGATGAAATCTGGGAATTTTTATAAATTTAAACAGACTTGAATAAATTTGCCGAATTTGCTGAAATTTCTTGACTCGGTTTACTTGTTGGCATTGCAATGTTTAGATGTCGGGGCGAAGTAAAAATTGTTAATTGTTCATCGCTATTCCCATTCGCTATCCGTTGAACGTAACAATTTTCCGCAGTGCAGAGATTCCAAAGAGAGAAGGTCGCAGAGTCTTCGGAATGTTCCAAAAGTCGTGGTTTCACCTAAATAGATGATAGTCCGAGGAAATCCTCGAACTCGTAGGAATTGAAAGAACATTCGGTACTCAACTCAGTGGCTTCGGGGTTTACAATTTAAATGAACGCACCCCCCGAGGAATAGTCGGCCATTTTCAGGGATATAATTTACGCCAATACGTTCCCTTTAAAATTTCACGGCCAAATTAGTGCATTCGGGCTATTCGTCGTCGTGTAAACAGAGCATTTAAATTCCGGACTGGGGCAATGATTGTTAACCGTTCAGCCAGAATAACTCTGTGTCCAAATAACCGAGAGCGATAATTTATCACGGAGTAGAGAGCGTTACAATGAAGGGTCGAAACATTTTTGAGATTTTCTTTTTCAAATTTCCATTCTCCTTTTATTACTTTTTCTCAAACCCGTAAAGAAACCATGACAATCTTCAGCATTCAAGTTTATTTTCGATGTTTCTATCTAATTTCATAACTTTATCGACAATGTGATCCAAATTTAACTTACCATTTTTTAATTTAAAACATCCTGAAACTAAATAAGAACTTTCGTAATGCAACTGCTTGCTTATCTAAATATTCAGTAATCTAATCAATTTTCTACCTTCTTTCTTTGAAAATGACATTTTGTGATTATTTTAAACAAAATTATTATCAAATGGTCGGGAAAGAACGATTTCGAAGGAAATTACAAAAGAGTCTCTGACGAAGGTCGGTCCGGAATTTTGCGAATTTCCGAATTTCGCGAATTCATTAAATGGTTCCGTCGGCCTTCGAGGATTCGATCCTACGACAGTATTTCCGTTGCGAACGGATCGTTGGAATTGAAAGAGAAAGATTTCAGCGGGCGGCTCCGTAGGAGACTGCACCGCTGATAAAGGAACGCTCGGTGCGTTTAATGTTACGATTTGAGGAGTGGGGGAGTCCCGTACTCGAAGTGTACGTTTTATGCGATAACGCTTACTGCGGACTTGTTAGGCGTTTATCTTCCTCTCGTCAAACGGGGTAAACCGACGATAGTAAAGCGTGTGTCTTTCTTATCGGTTAACGCCTTCTGCGTCGGTAAAGTCACTCCTCGATCGGTTATCATTCGAGGAAGGATTATCGACTGTAGTTAATATTGGCTATGGTTGAAGTCCACGATGAAATTCTCGTTCTGGTTTGATACTAACTTCTTATCGACTCAACTTACCGACGTTTAGCTTTCCAGTATTTCTCAATGAAGGAATGAAACTCCCAGTGAAACTTTTATGAATACATGTCCGAGCCAGCGCGATCATTTGACGACTGCAAAATCTGCTGTTAATTTCAGTAAATCTTATAAAGATATGATTTTTCTTTTCTTTACTCTGTGACAAATGGGACGAAATAAAGATGTTGATGAACTCGCGTGGGAAATCATTTACCTACTTCTTTTAGTCGCTATATTGTTCATACGAGTGGGCACTAATAAAAGAAATTAGTTATTTTCTTCCTCTGTTATTTAAAAAAAAAAAAGAGTATAATTCACGTACCAGCGATAAGATAGGTTTATTTACATCTGTTTACTTTCTTTTACGATGACGCTAAACTTTTCATACGTTAACTGTACATCTTTCCATGTTTATCGTCAACATTATTTATCTACGGATTGACCATTGTTTTTAATGCTTTTGGTAAACAATTTGTGATGTGCTTAGAAAATGGAGCGAATTTTTGTAGGCCTTGAAAATCTGTTGTTTTTCATTATAGTTTATTTGAAAATAAACGCATAATATTCTTCATTATATTTACACAGCCTAGTCATTTGCGGTCTCCAACATGGGTATTAACTACACATCGTGGGAACAGCTTCGAATGTGCCACATTTTTAGTGAGCTTGCTGCTAGGTGAGGGGTACAATGCGTACGTAGTCAGTGGCTATGCCTCCAGGGAGCAAGTGCGGTGCGACATGACCAAGAGGACTTGTCCTTACCTACCAAAACGGAAACCTTCTCCACCCTCGGCGAAACCAAAGGATACCTCTAAGTACCGGTTAAAACCTCCACCGGATCTTAGGAGTCAGTTTCTCTTGGAAATGGAAGCCAGAGAACATCGGAGAAAAGAAGAGGAGCTTCACCGTCAAGAGGAAGAACGTCGGAGAAATATACAGGTTTATGATTCGCCCCCTTAATTTTTGGCCTACACTGAAGGAGGTGTGAAGCTTTTCAATACATGACCCTAGTAGTGTTACGGTTTCATGCGATTTTTGTGTTTAATCTAGTGAAATATTGTCACGTTTTACTTTGTATACTTCACAAACACATTTCCCATATGCATTGAAAAAATAATGATATGTCCATTTAAATTTTTATTTATAGTCGGGGACCTTCGACACAAACTCAGTATATATTTCAAAATCAGAAGAAAATAGATGTTCTCATTTTCTTTCTCCTTTTGTTGTATATTTATCTAGATAACTGTTCTTGTAACATCGTGTAGCCCACACCCTGACATCGCTTTTTCGATTTCTGTATTTCCATGACCAAGAATAATTCCTCCAGGAATTGGAGAAACCACCTCCGGACAGTTATTGGGGACGTAGGATACACGCATGGGTGGTTGTTCTGCCGGACCGAGGAGGATCCAGAGAGCACCAGGAAGTGTCCGAGCCTTTCTTCATAGAGCCAGCTTCCGGGCAATCCTATTTCCCGAAGGAACACGAGACCGGTCTTCTCTATTTGGGGGTAGAGAGCATTTGGAACGACCAAAATTACTGGGTGAATATGCAGACATGTTCGACAGGATGTGCCGATATTGACTGGGATTTGAGTAATGTGGAGCTCTGGGAGCATCTCTTGTGTGGCGAGCCCTGGACGATGCGAGGCTCGGACGAAGAGGGCACCGAGGAAGAGATCGATATACAGCGGGACAAACACTTGGACATGCCGATGTCCTATGTGGACAAAATTGACATCAATAGCCTAGGTAAGAGGCCCAAGCCTCTCTTCCTTGATTTTGACATTTAAGGTGAAGTGAAATACGTCGAGGAACTTGATCAACGTCGATAAAGAAGATTTTTCTAAATGCCTACGTTGCCGACGTTCGTTTTTATATTGACAGCTATATCGAATTATATTGGGTATTGTACCAAATAGCGTACTCCACCTGTCGTTTTCGTACAATAATTATAAAGAAATCGAAATAAAACTCCAGAAATCCTCTGGATTCATGCCTTCTGGGGCCCTAATTGACTGCGGAGGGACCCCCTGCGCCATCTGTGATTTCCAGGTCAATTAAATTTTCACTCCGAGACCTCGTATTACCATCGTTTTAGCATAGAAGCGCATACAACACTTTTTTTGCCTTTATCCCGTTCAAATGCGAGTTTATCGATTACCAGAGTGTTCTAAATTGTCGTAAAATTATCCTGATCCTTTCGATTCTCATATCAGAGCCTTAGATAATTGTATATTGATCGAAATATCAGAGCTCGACGCCATTTTGGTTCTGGTCTGGACTGAGTTAAAAAATTTTTTTGAAAAATCCAAATTTTGAATGTGCCAGGACAACTCTTAGATGATCAGGAGTGATGTGTCAAAGTTTCGGACAGTTTGGTCTAATACCCTTAAAAAAAAGTGTTGTATTCGAATCGACTGATTTGAAGGATGTTTCACTTCACCTTAACCACTTCACATGCGTGGAATAGATATTTCGTGTTTTGGTTTGTATACATGTTGGCGATACATGATCTAGGTGAAACGTATCGTCCCAAGACACGAGAGAATTTTATAAGTCTTTAAGATTAAATGAAGCGACTGGAGCGGATATTCAGTTTGCTGGTATACTTCCTCAAGTTGTATAAACTGCTCAAATTAAAGGAAAGAAAAAAGAGACGTAAAGTTTGATCCAAACATACTTTAGTTTATATAAAGAAAATGTAAAATTAAATTCAAGTCGATCGACGCTACTATCGCGAGGCAAGTAGCCATTTATTTGCAAGATGTCACGAGCTTTTGCTTTTAGATTTCGAAAGACGATACCCAAACGGTTCAAAGACGATATTTTATAAGAAGACCAAGGTTGAATTATACGCTCCCTATGTCCAAATGGATGGCCTGGGGCAGCGTCTTACTATTTATGAGGATTATGAGTATATGACAGCCTTGAGCATACAGGAACAATATGTGAATAGAGCCGACAGACTCGTAGAGTCCAGGAAAGACTTGGAATTGGAATGGGTCGTGGATTTTTACGCAAGAGGACGACCAGATGCTTGCAAAGGTATAATGATTACCAAATGGTAAACAAATAGTATCGGGGATTATCGGCAGACGAATTGACATAATCTGGATTTTACTGGCTGATAATGTTTCAGAGCATCATTATTTCATGACCGGGCAAGATACTGTGAGCGACGAGAGAATCTTACAGTTTTATGACGTCGTTCGGCTCGATGGTCTCTCTTGTATGGAAATGCATCCTACTTACTTGAAGCAAGAATACATTGGCCGCGAAGACTTTCTGTATTATCGGTAAAACTCGTACTTTACTGGGCTAATTTTTTTCTCGTGACATTATCAGGCATCTTAATAGCAATCGAGACGAAAGTAAAATGTCGAATAAAAAATTAATGATAAATAATACTTGATCTTTTCGCATTGTATAACTGACGTTCTTCTGTTATTATATTTGTGGGTTTTGCTTTTGATGTTTATCAATTGGTTGTAAATTGTTTACTGCAGTGTACGAGATTTTTAAATATTTTAGTCAACGTGTAAATGTAAAGTTTACGACATAACTAAAGTCTACTTAATCATTTGCAAAAATCATTTGCAGATACGTCGAATACTCCATTGAAGACGTTAATGATAGAAAAAAGCGCCAAGTTTGGGTAAATTTAATTATGTAAACATATTATATTGGAAATATAGAATGATCGTATCACAGGTAAACGGAGACTTCCATTTTCAGAAAATAACCGAAAAATATCACAGAAACGATACGATTCCGGCAGGCAAGGACATCGCCATTCGAGAATTTGATTTACGGCAAAATGAAATACAACTTAAGTATCATTATGATAAAGGACAAGGTACCAGGGCTACTCGTACGTTTATAAAACCACCCATAGCAGAACGTGGTGACAGACTCACTTTCCATCCAGACATGACTCACGGTTACGACGTAGATATTCGTTTTTACTTATGTTTGCAGAAATTTACGAAACTGTTTATATTGTATCATAATAATTAAAATTTTACAGCCAGATCCAATGGCCCTTCCCAAGACGTCTCTTAATTTATTTTATGAACTAGACAAGCAGCTAAAAGACGAAGAACGTTGCTTATCTTACATTAGGGACGCCGAAATGGAAATTGGCACGTTCCTAAAAACTCGCCATTCAGAATATTTTATGCCGAAATTAACAGTCTCACCTTTTGATAGAAACAGAAATGAGGATGCTAAAGCAAGGATGTTCGCGAAAGTATGTAGAATTAAAACATCATTGTTAGTTTATCATACGATGAAATAAGATAATATTGTGAAACCAATGCAGGAGGAAATGTTACGTGCTCAATGTCAACGAGAAGTGGAAGAGGACGTGGACATCTTGGGGCCCTATTTAGCAAGAATCGGAAATCCTACTATTTTAGGGAAAGCTCAAGCGATACAAATACGCCAAGACTGCCTTAATGATTTCAAGAAAATGGTTATAGACAGAGCGAATTCCATTTTGCGGATGTTCGAGAAATGCAGCCAAGAGTTAGAAAAGACTCAGTCAATGTTGGTGCAGGTAATTATTAACAACTTCGATAAGATGATCCGACGAAATAGTTGCCCGGTTATTCGAATGGGTTTGTTTATTGTACATTCTTTATATCACAAACGTTTGCTATCAAAAGATTTAACAATATTTTACAGGCGGAGGGTTTAACGAGAGAAGAAGAGGAAAGAATCCTAAATGAAACTAATGAGATGAATTTTTATTTACACACCTTGGAAGTCAGATTAAATCGACATCGGGATTTGGTTCCTGAACGATACCGGATGATGTTGAATATGCTCCGAGAGGATGGTCGTCTTTCGGTCCTTTATTAAAACACTTTAATGATGAAAACACGAAAATACAACAAAAGATGTGAATTATGAGGTGTTCCGTATATAGCATGATTTCATTGAAACGACCAGGAACCCATCTGCCCGATACATCGGCCTGAAACATTAATTCGTTACTTCATTTAGTAGACGCTAAGATGCAAAACAGTAATTGGTCAAGATATAATCAACATCTTATTTGCCTTCGTCATCGAACGTCGCCAATGTAAATTTGCTGAGCTTGTTGGTAAAGTTTCCTACATTCGATGCCACCGAGTTGTCGACCGACCTGTTGCAGTTACTGCCGTCTCCACCGATCTCATTATTCCTACTCTCTTCGGCAAACCCGGATATCAAAGTATCTATCATTATTGCCTAAAAAGAAATACGTTTTAAATAACAATGAATGCATACGAAATAATTGTATATACAGAATTTAGATTTGTACTTGTCTCGAGAATACTTGTAGGATTTTGTAAACCCGGGCTCCGTTTTCCCGCACCGAAAATTGCAGGAAGAGACAAGGCAGACAGTTAGGATTCCCTTCGTCCGAAGGTTTAGCCATCTCCCAGCTCAGTTCAGAGTACTTCAGACCCAGCAACAGCCTCTGTTCCAATCGTACGCGCATTGGAAATCATTCAGTATACCATTTCCTTCCGTTTCAATAAATCCAAATGGAGAGTGGACTTAATTTCTTAAAGAGACTTACACATTGCATATCGTCGACTATGTACACACCCGAGGTATTAATCGCTATTAAAACGGGGAGGTCTCTGTGTGTGATCCACGAAATGAGGCCCCGGACGGGACGTTCAATTTGTCCATGGAAAAATGCTGCACCGTAGCAAGGTAGGCCCCAGCAGAACTCTAGATACTTCCTTACGAGTTTCCGCGAGTTACTGTTGGTGCCGGTGTGATTGGGTATACGTTTATATTGTTCCAGGAGACGAGCTTCTGGTGCACCCTTTCCTCCAACTAGGCCCAATCCAAATCCCAATCCTAGTAGTAGGCCCGGAGATGTATAATGATGTGGTAAGAACCTTCCACGATGTCTTCTGAAGTATGCCAAGGTGTGAGTTTGAGCGTTGTAAGGCCCAAGTTCGACGCGAGCTTGAAGAGCTCCCAAACTTGCATACCGCGCTTGCCCTTCGCACGGATACCTGCCTAACGGAATAAATGCGAATTATTCAATTTTAAGGGAAATATAAATTACATAAATAAACCTAATATAGTTACAATTAATAAGGGGGGAACAGACCACAACGAATGATGATTACTCGCATTAAAGAGATTTTCTTTAAATTTTTCACGAGTAACTCAACAATTTCTTACATACTTGTAAGAACGTATCATGATACCGTATCATGAAATGATAAACTTTGAATTAGATAAAATATAAGCTAAGTAAAGATATTTAACCATGCATCCCAAAGACCATGCAACCCCTTCTTTGGACTAAGTTCGACTAATACGATTTTTTGTTTTATTGTTTAAGCGTTGTGTTTGCTCTGACCTTCCAGGACATTATTTCTGGCTTCGGCATACAATAGTTCCAGCACTTTTGTCTCTTTGATTTGTTCCTCGTCTCGTCGGGAGAGAAAAACATTTCTTCGAAAGTGCAATACGGGTTCTTCATCTATCTCATCGAAGGCCCCGTATTTTTGGATGAGTCGCCGCCACTTTGCTGCGATTTCTAACGGTTTGTGAGTTGGTCGAAGTTGGACCTCCAATTGTTTAGAACAGAGCCATAAAGCAAAAACGGGCTGTCCTACAACTGGAGGTGCTCTTGCTTGCCCTAAATCGGCTTCTGATTGTACAACTGAGAGTATTTGTTGAGCTGTCCATCCCTTTTCTATTTCCATAGTCAAAAATACTCCTGACATTATGTAAACAGCAATACGAATTGTGGGCCGTCCCGTGTTTATGTGTTGTGATGAAGGAAGGGACACTATTTTAAACACAAATGCATAGGACATAAATGATTGAAAGTACAAAAAAGAAATGTATCATATACGGCAAATATCTTTTAAATACTTACAGGAAGGACCATTAGAATGATAATCATTTTGAAAACACCTGATAGGCAGTCCCCTACGAGCTATGGATTCTTCCTGGTGATCCATTTTGTTAATTATCGTCTTCTAACTAATGGGGACATTATTTGTAAATTTCTTCCTTATATGTCCTCATTTATGCATATATTCTTGCCAATTATTTATTCACTGCAATCACGAGGATGTCACATACGGTGGGTTTTATCGACATTCACGTTTATCTTGATCTACATTTATTATATAAGTGTATATGAAAGTATTTAGTAACATATAAAAGAATGCAATTTTACCGAACTTCAATAATCTAGATTTTTGTACAGAGTAACCACAACCTCGTTCTATCCTGTTCTACTGCTTAGTCTACAATGGTCGTTTATTGATTTTTCCGCTCCAACCAAGTTCTGAACCCAAATGTGTGATATTTACCGAGCGAGAAACAAATTAATTTCATACAGATCACTGCATCTTGCGTATACTTAATTTACAAATAAAACAATGCATGAAAGAAAGTATCTTAGGTATGAAATAGTTTACCAATTCTGTTCAAATATTCATCTACGAATCATTCGTAAAGACTCTTTTACCTGTAATTCTTAAAATTATTCTATTTATTGGTATCACATAAATACATTGTTTTAGAACTAATATTTATGTTGAGATACAAAATTTCGCACCTCTTAAAAAGTATAACAAAGAATCGTTGAAAGCAAAAGAAAACATGTATTTAAGTAAAGAAAAAGTTTAAGTATAAGAGAGTATGCATAATACCTACATATAAAATATGTTCTGCCAGTTGAAATCCATAAATGCACCGCCTGTGCAACCAATATTGTACTTAACTGCATATTATTATGCCAAATTTAAAATAAAAGAAAATTTTAAGATTTCTACACGATGTCAATCTTATTCTATAAAATAGGTAATGTCAATATTCAGGGGAAGTTGATTTTATAATGAAACTGTTTCATTGCAAGGAAAAGTGCAAGATAGAATTTATATTAAATCAGCAACATTCATAGGCATCTCGTCAATCTGCGTAGAATAGTATTGTTCAATATCCCTCAGAATTCGTATATCATCTGTCTTCACAAAGTTGATTGAGACACCTTTACGACCGAATCGTCCAGATCGTCCTATCCTATGAATGTACAGCTCTCGGTTATTAGGTAAATCATAATTGATAACCAGCGATACTTGTTGTACGTCAATGCCTCTTGCCCAAACATCTGTTGTAATTAAAACTCGGCTGTGGGGAAAAGTTTTAATTAGACATTTTAAAGCAAGAACTATACATTTTTAGAAATAAACATGATACAAAATATGGCATGGAGTAAATAAGTTTAAATAGTTACATACCTTTGACCCGAACGAAATTCTTTCATAATATTATCTCGCTCCTTCTGTGGCATGTCACCATGCATGGAACATACTGTAAAATTTGCTTCTCTCATCTTTTCTGTAAGCCAGTCAACTTTACGCTTTGTGTTGCAGAAAATAACTGCTTGCGTTATAGTCAATGTATCGTATAGGTCGCATAATGTGTCAAACTTCCACTCTTCTCGCTCGACAGCCACAAAAAATTGTTTTATGCCTTCCAATGTCAATTCATCACTGTTAACAAAAATTATTGTGTATTACTAACGACTTGAGTACTACTAATAAAGTCATAAACAACCAAGTGTAATTACCGTTTAACAAGAATTCGGATAGGATCAGTCATGAATTTACTGGTCATTTCCAAAATTTCATGAGGTAATGTGGCTGATACCAAAACAACTTGTGTCGCTGGTGGCAAATATCGATACACATCATAAATTTGTTCCTTGAAACCTTTATTAAGCATTTCATCAGATTCGTCGAGTACCAACATCTTGATTGCACGAGTACGTAGTACCCTTCTTTTAATCATATCTGAAATTAAAAATTATTGATAGAACTAATTATTAAGAACTTGGAGAATAAAATTGAAGGTTGTACTTATACGTACCAAATACTCTTCCAGGTGTACCAGAAACGACATGTTGACCATAATCTAATTTTCTTATATCTTCACCAAGATTTGTACCACCAATGCACGCATGACACTGAACATTCATAAAATCTCCCAGAGCTAAAATTACTTTTTGAATTTGTGTCGCAAGTTCTCTTGTAGGTGATAATACTAGGACTTGCGTTTCACGTACTTGTGTATCTAAAGATTGCAAAATAGCAATGGAAAATGTGGCAGTTTTTCCTGTACCTGACTGCGCTTGAGCTATGACATCTCTTCCTTTCATTATTGGCTTTATTGAACGCTGCTGAATTGCTGAGGGTTTCTCAAAACCTGCAATTAATAGACATGTATTATGACATTACAATCCTGAACAGGGTGAAATATGGAAATTCACCGTTAATCTTACCGGTCTTAAAGGACAAAAAGTTCAAAATTAAAATATTTGCATTCTTCAAAGACACTGAATGTATAAGTGGACTGTTGCAAGATGTCTTAAATATGTAACGAACTTCAACGATTTACAGTCGAGGCGACTAAAGAATAACCAGTTTATAAAATAAACAGCTGAACATCTTAAAAAAAATCGCGTGCAAGTGATTCTAATTGAAACAAGAATGTGAGGTTAGGAAATAGAAATGAGGTATTTCATTATACCGTATGCGTATATCCCTCGTAAAAGTTCGTCCCGAAGACCCATATTATCGAATGTGGGGATAACCTCGACATCTTCGCTAGTTTCGAATTCAACATTCGATAAATCTTCTGTTTGTGCAATGCGTCTTGACTTGCTTTCCGCCATTTTAACAAACTAATCATAAACTCCAATAAACACGATTTGAGGCCGCGGTCTCACTGCTTCAATTGACTCCCACCAGAGAAAAGCAGAGATGAGTTGGGAGATTGCCCACGGGCAGGGTCGCGCTATTGAGGCCGCACAAGTAAGTGCATCCCGGAAAGCCACCAGAGGCAGCACAGTCCTTCGCGGAAATAAGAGAATTCAAGAAATTGACTCTCGTCCACGACCGATAGAAAACGACTATGGATATATAAATGTAAGTATAATGTATAGCACTTTCTTTTTAATGTTTATCTTGAAAAAAACTTTTTACATTATTGCAAACATTAATCAATAAAGTTAAATGTTAGTACATAAGTTTCGATGACTATTTTAATTATTCTTTTACCATCCTAAGTTGTACTTAACGTTTGTCAACATATTTATATACTTGTGACATTTTTAACAGCTAAAATTACAATCACAATAATGTTCCATTAAACGGTGAATTGTATAATTTAGTCATGAGACCTATCCAATTTTATTTGTTTCTTGCAATCATGGGCTATATCTTTAACTTTTTGTTGTCCTTCTTCAAGGTCTGCTGAAACCTTCACTTTTTCTTCATTGTCCGAAGTGCTCAGTAATTTCAGCACCAGATCTGAAAAATAATATATTAAATTTCTATCAAAGTTATATATACTTAGAATGAAGAATACTAATTACCATGATACCGCGAAAGTGTTTTCGCCACTTCAGCTTCTATTTGAGGTTGAAGGAATGCAAGCACTGAATGAACATGCCTGCCTGACATGTGTAAAACACTTTGTGTCACAGCTGTGAAGAGAATACTTGTTACTAAGTGTAACGTTAATGCTGGATCTTGTGTTGCATTCAACTGATCCAACAATGCTTCACGATGACCAACCACTATTGCCTTTTCTCTCTTTTTATCAAATTTCTTTAGAACTAAACAACACGATGCTAAGGCAGAATCTGCTGCATTTAACAAATCTTCTACCGTACTGCTAGTCAAAGATTTATTCAGACGTGTCAATGGTTCAGCCACATCTGGTGGTAAGTCCATTAAGATTTTTTGCCTCACTTCGTTTGTAAGATTTGCAGGGCATTGTAAACAATTTTGCTGCGCAGCTAATTTGAATACGTCTGAGACAAAATCAGTACCTAATGTTTTCAACAAGTACTTTGTCATAATACCTTGAGAAGCTTTATCCAAATGCTTGATTCCCTTCTCAAATATCTTAATATTTGATGCCTGCATATTTAATCGTTCTTCAATCTCATTAAAATTAGTTATTTTACTGGATTGCATTAAATTCTCTACAATAGACATGGCTTGCGAATTTAATTTCGGTTGTAAATATTCAACTAAGTCTTTTATAAGGTCTTCATTACAAGCTAAATTTTCATCTTTATTAAGTTCTTCTTCTATATCTTTTGTTGATATAAATGTAAATTTAGCTTTTCCAGAACTCTGAACTGAATGCTCATCATCTGAATCATTTAGCTCTTGAACCTTTCCTTGATGAAATTTCTTTTTCGTAGACTTAGTTTTAGTTTCCCGGCCTTGATTACCACCACCAGATTTACCACCAGCTGCTTTCTTCCTTCGTTCCTCTTTTTTATCCGCTTTTGTGTCATTGTTCTCGGTTGATCTAGATTTCATTTTTTTCTCAGCAACGAACTGAAGCCAAGCACCACTATCTACTGCTTTCTTAGCTTTTTCTTCTGCCACTAACCGGAGACTTTTTTCTAAGCTCTGCAAAAATCCATCAGATATCGCAACTGTAGTGGCAAAAATGTGAATGTTGGTTCGTGTCCTGGCTGCAGCTGCTTTCAAGAGGCTTTCAGCATCTTCTGGACAGAATACCGATGGGAGAAGAGGGTAAATATCAACATAGGATGAAGTTGATATAATTTCTTCTACATTTGCATCTACTTGGTCGGTAATCACAGAACCCACTGCTACAGAATCTAGCAGCACTAAGTTGTCATGTGCAAAATGGCGACGTACAAATGACTGCGGATCAGAGATACCAAGCCGCGTGAGAGCATCATATTCTGAAATAAGATTGTATACTTAAGAGAATGATTTAATAAACTATAATACAAAGAAAATCTTATAAGCCATCAACACAAACCTAGGTAGCCATTCTGTTTATAAAAATTGTTCACCCATTCGCTTTGAGTCTTTGAATACACATTCGGAATGTACATAGATTGTCCACTCTGTTTCCCAGTTATAATTCCTGGTAATTCTTGTGCCTGCTGTAAACATTCTATGATCGCTGAGAATAAGAATGTCAATTACTTTCATATAATGGTGATACAATTCTAAATGTAATCTATCACATTACTCACAGAAAAATATTCTTTCGGAAATTGAACAAGAATTTAACACGGCCGATATCGTTGTGGGTTTTGAAATAGCATTTAAAACCTCCATAATTTTATCTTTATTTTTTGTTATAAACTCTTCTGTGTAGAATATCCTGGGATCTAGTATATCCTGTTTAGCAAACACTGTTTTACCCAATTCCTTTTCCACTGTTGATTGCAAAAAGTCAGCAGGTAAATTATAATTAATTGTCAAATCGGCCATGCTAATACACCCTTGCTGACTCAGTCTAGCATTGACCTCTTTGGCAACTTTAGCCGTATAACTTTTATCAATGAGTTGTCCCAAAATAATTTTAACATCTTTTTCCTGCCTGACTACTTCAGCAGCAGCTCTAGAGATTTGTGACAAGTCGACGTTAAGTATTTTTGACAGTTCCACCAGGTTGATACGACCGTCATGTACGTGCAACTCATCCTTGATTTCTGTGCACAGGTGTTGAGGAGTAACATATTCCTTGCCATCGTTAGTAAAAATGATATCAAGAAGTTTGGATTCCGTCAACTTATGTATGATTTCCACACAGTTACGCTCTGAAAGTCTAAGAATAAATGCCTTGTGAGGAACAGCTGGGAATAACTAGAACATTCCTTTCTGCATTTTTAATAAGTCAGTACTAAATTAAATACAATAAAGAAGTGAAGGACTAACTGTTGCGGAGTTGAACTCTCTTGAACTTTCTGAAAATCGGCAGCTAATTTCTTAATCTCATCCCAACTTGCAGTCATTTTTTTTACAGAAATCTGATAGCACACAATACGTGACACCGTATTCAAACGAGACTGACAACACTAGAATTTTAACGTGTTCAACAGAAATGTCCACGTCTGTTTGACTGGTTTAATGTAATAATCATGAGAGGCAACTTGTATATGTATCATGATCACGTTCTATGTACAAGCAAATTGCTGCTATCTGACGACTCCTCAACGAGACTTTTCCACGTTTAATATGGATGTACACTGGCATTCATCGATGCCTTCCTCGCGGACCTACTGCCCTCCCCGACGGTGCGGCGTACAGCGATGGGAGTAGCGTGGAATCTCACGGCGCTTATTTTTCATTATTTCGTTTAAAAATTTGTGCCGACCAGTGCCAAGCCAGTTCACATGAATGGTCTCGCATTTTCACCACCAAAAACGTTCCGTAATACCATCAGCTACTCATTTTTCACATTTTCGTTCAATTTGCTTTACGTAATAGACCTCCTTGTGACGTAATATTCCTAGTAATTTTTACGAAGAACAGTGTAAATTACTTGGGGTATTTTATTCAATTTTATTTACCAAACGCTGTTTTGAGATAGAGCATCAGCTAATCGGGATGTATATTTGTTTGCTTATTATTTCTTACCATCGTGTCATTTCCGGAACATACCTTTATGTGGTGAATTTCACCGAATCGCGCTGCATTGTGCGCAGACGCAATGGTCAAATGTGTCAAAAACCTGAAAATTGTTGAAGTAACGTGGCGGGTCATTCGTCGTGCCCGTGAATGTTTTAAGCTGGACCTGCCGGTTCGAAAATATTTAGGTTACTTAACCTAATCTTGTCTACGTAGGCGGTACATTGATAATATATCCCGTCCTTATCAAGAATTATTCAAAATGGTTCGCGTTACATTTTTGCATCCCGACTTGGGCATAGGTGGAGCGGAACGCTTGGTCGTTGACGCGGCATTAGCGTTAAAACAAAAAGGTCACGAGGTTAACTTTGTAACGACCCATCACGACCTGGAACATTGCTTTTCCGAAACGAAAGATGACACATTTCCTGTCACCGTTGTCGGTGATTGGTTACCGAGAAATATTTTTGGAAAATTTTATGCACTGTGTATGTACATTCGCATGGTAAGGTTTATTTTATTATGTTTCTTCTTTTATACTTATGGTATGCATAACTATGTAACGTTAAGTGTATATGTTATCTTATCATTATTTTGTTGTATCAAATGTTACCTTTTATAGACTCATGCATAAGATATGGCTTTTACCGATCGATGTGTTCTACAGGTATATGCAGCAAGCTACGTACTCTTTCTAGATAATCGGCCAGAAATAGTATTCTGTGATTTGGTATCGGTGTGTATTCCTATCCTCCGACTTCGTATTCCATATGTTGTTTTTTATTGTCATCATCCTGATCAACTTCTCACGCAACATGGAGGTTTCTGGAAGTCTTTGTATCGGATGCCAATAAATGCTTTAGAGGAGATTACAACAGGGCAAGCACATAAAATATTTGTCAATAGTTTATATACCAGAAAAGTCTTTAAAAACACCTTTAAGAAATTGGATGTCGAGCCTGAAGTATTATATCCTTCTTTTAATACTAACTTTTTCGATAAAACACGAATTGTATCCTTGGAGAGAACTTTAGATAGGAAATTGCCAGAGAAAAGTATTATTCTATTATCTATAAATCGATATGAAAGAAAAAAAAATCTACCCCTTGCACTAGAAGCTCTTGCACAACTTAAACATTTTTTGACTGATGAGGAATATAAGAGAGTATATTTGATCATGGTTGGTGGCTATGATAAACGGGTTGAAGAAAATGTTGAGCATTATTTGGAATTGATTGGGCTTGCCGATGAACTGCACATCACTGAGAAAGTAATTTTCTTACGATCTCCTTCGGATATAGACAAAGTTTCCCTTTTACATCATTGTCATGTGGTTGTATACACACCACCTAATGAACACTTTGGGATCGTACCATTAGAGGGTATGTATTCAGCAAAACCTGTAGTTGCTCATAATTCTGGGGGACCCAAGGAATCCGTGATCAATAGTAAGACTGGCTATTTAGTTGACTTATCTGGTACAGATTTTGCAGAAAAAATAGCAATTTTAATTAAAGACCCAGAACTAATGTTAAGGTTTGGCAAAGCTGGAAGGGAAAGATTTTTGCAGACTTTTAGTTTTGCAGCATTTAGTGAACATTTGAACAGTGCAATACAGAATTTTGTAGACAGTAAGAAATCACAGTGATAAAAAACATGCACCTGCAACTGGTTAGGTATTTAGGTGATGCATTGCGTGGTAATTCCTTTTTATCTTGTAATTGTAGTGGGTTGTATAAGTTTGTATGTGCATTTAAAAAAAAAACCACAAACTCATTACATGCTCCAATACAGGTAATATGTAGATTATATTATAACAGTTTATATTTTATATCCATGAGGAAAATATTTATACAAATTCTAGGGAGATCAAAGAATAAATATAATTTATATACTCTTATAGTGTTCAGTTTATTTAAATCCAATGTATAATTTGTTAAATTTATATAACTTTATTAGTGTTACTTGAAAAATACTGTGCATTACACATAGAATGGTTCTTGATTCAAATAGACCATGTGACCTGACAATTTTAGAACCCACTTATTTACTTACAATTTAATAACTCAGCTGTTCATCGATTGATGCGATTCCTACGTTATTCGAAATATTGTGTAAGTGACAAGTGGGAAGCTCCATTTGAACAGTTAATGAATGCAGAACTTTTAAATGTTATGAATCAATTTACTGTATTCGAAGGTTTCGAATTTATGTTAAGCTATTTGGTCCCTGACAGATTTCATTCATTTAATATTACTGACTAGGCTTACTAATTGCAGTCTATGTATATATTTCAAATTTACTCAAAAAGGAATTATAATCAATGAATCTAATTGCAAGTCAATGTAAGTATATCACTGACTCTTGAGAATTACAAACATATATCGGTATGGTAATTTTTAAAAGTACTTGTTAAAGGCCAAACAATATTTCACATTGCATTGCATTGCATTGCTGCTGCAGATCGCTACACGATACTTTTAAGTGAAAATTATTTTCTTTCATTAAAGGCATTGATTAATTAGCAACCTTCAATATGAATAATTAGTCATTTTACTAACTTTGTACAAAATATAAAATTCTGTGATACATACACATTCATTGCATGTCAATTGCTCATCTTACAAGTCCAACTAAAATTACCCTTAATAAAATGTGTACGATCCTTCACTGACGAAATGTATAAAATTAACTGCAAACATCACAATCATATTTGTCTAATGTTTCACTGAATTATCATCAGGCTGCCTTTCCAATACATGACAATGTGATTTATGCTTCAAGTAAGTCTCACAATCACCTAAACGTAATGATCATAAACATCAGTCAAATTCCATTCCAATAGCCGTTATCGTTTGGTGGTAGCATCTGCATCTAAAGCTAAAATTAAATACATCAGATTTCATTCATTTTCTGCCATAAAAGTAGTTCATGACAAAGAAGAAGAATTTGAACTAAAACTAATTGTAAAAAGTATTTACTTTTGCCGTCACAAGCCACTATTTTCACTTTGTCAACAATGGCCACTTCTTGAACCTCTCGAAATTCGACGTCATTTAACATGAAAGTCCACACATTATCACAAAATCTATAGGTATTCAACTTGCCAGCCTAGAATTTAAATTAACATGAATAAAAGACACATGTTGGAGAAAAAGAAAAAGACCGAAGATCATTACCTTAAATGTAAGCCGTGATTTGACTCTTGTTGCAAGAGCCTGATTAATAGCTTTGTCAAATTGAAGTAACACTTTAATCGCAAGTTGAGGTGTAATTTGTCCATACTAAAAAGAAAAAAGTTATTCAATCGATGCAACGTCAATATGTGATGACCAATTAAGAACATCGGTACTGTATATCCTACGATTTGTTCATGAAGATTGTATTGAAATAGGAAAAAGTAATGGAAGACCCGAAATATGCATTTTATTGGCGCAGAAAAATGAATCTGAAACGCGACATGTTTGCACTGCGTTTTCAATGATTTAAAACGCGAGATAACCTATTAAGTTTGTAATATATTAGTCGATTAAACTTGCTTACTTGAATTAACTCGTCCAGACTTTCTTGCAGCGTATTTCCCAACGTAGTATTTCTATATAATTGATACGACATCTTATTTCCAAGTATTTATAAATAATAGCTTTTTAATTAATATTCTTAAGCCGTTTCACACAGCCTGATACAGTTCTTTTCACTGTAAATACCAACGGCGTGAAGATAGGAACTATCGATTTTCGACTCCTCACGTGACTGCGGTGCTGCCAACGTCCAACATTGAATTCGCCGTAGTTCGAAGCAGAGATCTGTTCGAAGTATTAATTTGCAAATTAATTCGTTATCCAAATTCTACAGGAAAATACCGATTAATACTTGTACCCAGAAAAACCATTAAACTATCGCTAACCTAATTCTGCAGAATGTAATATAAAAGTCCCTTTTCAAGTTTCCCCTCAACAGTCTAATAAATTACCACGAGACATCTCTGTTACCACATATTGCCAATTTAATGTCTCGAATTATTATCATTTGCGAAAATGTGCGTCTTAAAACAGCGATAATTTTTTACATCCATGGCCTACTAGATAAACCACGAGGCATAAACCTTCGGACGACCACATGTCGAAAACTTGCGATATTCATCGAGTATTCGGAAGAAGCATTCCTATTAATTCCTGCCTTGGAAGGAACGCAGCATTTCTATCTACGAAAGCGTGAAAGTGCTCGCAGCAAGACTATATCGCGATTATCGGAAGTTCCATTAAAAAAATACATCCCCAGGACGGTCTCGGAAAGATACATATTCTTCGTTTTAACAATACGAGTGGGAGATTAGGACTTTAGACCCGTTTCAATTTCATCGGGCGATAAGTTTCTCGATTGGTTAATAATCCAATTCCAGAGTAAGCCAGAGTCGAATCTGCAACGCGGAATTCGGAGAAGTCGGCTGGACCTAGTTTTTTTGAATTTTTGCGGGCCTCCCCGTCATGGCGGCAATGTTGGCAGAATTGGTAAAAGAGTTGACCATGCAGAGGAATGGCGGCAGAGAGATGGAAGAACGAAGGTCCATTCGCGAGTCGAGTAAAACTCCGAAGAGATACGGCAGCACGGCCAAACACATGACCAGAAACGAAAACTTGATCAAACATGTGGTGTCGAAATCGGATACTCTTCAAGGAATCGCTCTCAAGTACGGAGTCACGGTACGTATCGTATCGTCGACGAGGCCGCTGCGCGATTTGCACCTCGCTCGGCTGTCACTTTAGAGTTGTTACACCTTAGAGCGCTAATTTACGAGTCGAGAAGCCACTCGTGCTAAAACATCTCGGCGATTCATTCTATATCACGAGATGACTGCCGAGATTTGTATACGTGTCATTCCACTTACCGACACCGTTACGCAAATCGTAAGTGGTTTTGTTGCCACTTTCGAATTGTTTCACCTTGTAAGGATCACTGAGCAAGTGAAATCACCTTCTCGAGTCGCGATTACGTACTTAATGCCGTTATTTAACTATAGATTTAATGGTGAGTTCTGTTTCAAGGTGGAAGTCCAATTGTACGTACATGTTTCTCTGATTTGACTTCGTTTTTAGACAGAGCAGATAAGAAGAGTTAACAGACTGTGGGCTTCGGACAGCTTATTTTTAAGAGAGCATTTACTCATCCCGGTGCCTGGTGAAGGCCTTTTGTCTGGACCCAATAATGGCAGTCTTCCATTGGATGGCGATGCCGATAGCAGTATTGCGAGTGTACGACTTCTGAATATTTTAACCATCGAAAGATAAAAACTACTTCATGGTTTACTAACGTAAGGTTCGATCGTGTAGGTTTCTAGTCCATCTTCGATGACTTCGTCCATTGATGAGGAGAGCTCATTAAATGAATTTTTGGCAAAAATGGACTCTTCTATAGCAAGTATGAAAAAGGAGGTTAAGAGGGCACAAGGGAACAGTGAGTAAGTTTCTTATACTTTAGCTCTTCTTATGATTTGACTACATTTTGCTTATTGTAGCACCCATTTTTTTTTTTTAATTTAGAAGCTTTATTTTTAGCATGCTTGTTATTTATCAACAAGGATTTTACACTAAAAAATAATTTAGTTCACCGGCAAATACGAATTAAGTGTTTTAATGATACTGTTCACGCTCGTGTAGGTGCATTGATTGGATTGCAATGTTTGTAAACATTGATATCTTTTTCAATAGTGTAACCATGCTTATGTAGGTTTTGCAACGAGGGGGACAGTGAGAGCGTACAACGGAGAAGAACAGTTGGTAGACCTCAATGCAACTCACATCCAGTTACATCAAATTCGTACTTATCAACACCATCCTCTGAGGTACTGAGGCCTGCTTCTATGAGCGATGTTCACAGCCTACCGTCTGCTGTTGTCATGACACAAGGCAGGCGAGTAAAAACTTCATTACAGAGACTTCAACAGCAACAGGATGAAATGTTTCAATTGTAGCAATTAAGTATTTGTTTGGTTAGCGCCTAAATGATCTTGAGTTTTAGGAGAAATTTTGAAATTGAAAAGAGAACTGGATATCAATGTAACAAATTGCGCTACAGATGTTTGCTAAAGTAACTAATTATTTACGAATCCATGGTAAACCATATGTGCCTTTACCTTATTGACATTTTGTATTAATATAATTTTTCATAATTTTGCTTTTTCCAATCGAAAAATGTCTCAATTATTCTGATAGAGTAACCCACTTTTTATTATTTAATCATTGTGTCATTAAGCAGCAATAATTGCAGTGATATCTGGATCTCTTTTTTCACAGTGTACAATTGTCTCTTACGTTCAAATCTTCATTATGACACCTTTTAAAAGAAGTGTAAAGGCATTACTACCGTGTAAGCTTATACAATTGTTCATGTACATACAACACGATGTCAGTGCATGAACACATCGCTGGTACTATGTCTTTTCCTAATATGGTATTTTGAACAAATGTTAAAGAAATGACAGAAGTACAGAAACGAAGTATAGTCACATAATTAACTAACATTCTTCATGTCCAATCACTTGCAAATGAATTCTCAACATTTTTAAGAAGTGTGAAGAACGCGAATAATTAGGTCGGTAGAAAAGAACGAATATCGTGAGATAAGAAATTCAATAATAGTTTACTATGTAATTAATCATTTTGTAAAATGTATTCCATACTAAAAATAACTATATTGATTAATGGCAGTTGAAAGTATACTTTCTTTACAGAATGTATAAGTCGAGTAATTGTTTTCAAATTTATTTGCGAAATATTGAAATATGGAGATTATTAATATCTGTGTTTCAGAGGTGATAAGTTGTCATGTTTCCTTATTCTTTAATTTGTTGAGAAAAATACAAAGCAGTTCTTTGAAAACGAATTACTGTACCTCGCAAACTATAAAAGTTGTTGATTGTTATGTCACAAATTATATATGTATATATATGTTCAAAGTATATGTTGTTGAATTGTGGAAGATTTATTGTAATATTCCAAAGAAAATATATTTCTCTGGGGCACCAGGTACATGGACTGGGGAGTTTGCTTTTTTTCGTAATAACAAACGACAAAAACTGTTATATGAGATTATTCGACCTCGTAAGAATGAGTGTATGCTACTAGTGCTTGTATATGATTCGTACTACTACTATCGCTTAAAAGATCAGCATAATTATAAAAAAATAATAGCTTTCACATATGTACACAAATTAGTTGATTAACAATATTTAAGTAGATTTTAGTTCCTTGTAGGTATGTACATACATAAATACAGACATTTGTTATACATGTAAATGTATAATGCCTGAATTCGGAAAGTCAATCGGCAAGGTCTGAATAATATTAATATAGGTCCAACGACAGTTTACCTTTTAGCTTCGCAAATCTGAAGGATTAATATTAATGGTGTTTAATCCATTACATTTTACTTGGATTATCATGACATAGATTGTATTTAGAATTCACCGTATCATAAAAATGTGCTCTTATCATCAATTCGCTTTCTTTTATTCATTCTCTCTTCGAAACTTTTATGCATACCGTTTTCTACTTAACTCTTAGAAACCTATTGAGAAAACTCACGCTTATAAAAATATGTTTCTTATAGAATATTCGTGTACCGAATTCAATTTAATAGTTACAACTTTCTATGATTGAACTTTCTATGGTGCCCAATTTTGTAATCTATAACAAAAAGTGCTACGCACGTATTGAAGTAAATGCTGAGAGACACAATCATCAGATAATCATAGGTAATTATTTCAAGCTGTCTAACAGCGTATTTTGCATACGTGAGAAGGGCTCTGTATGACTCTGGTAAACACTTTTTATAAAGGGGTAGACGGTAGAATTGATTTTGAGATAATATTGCCTTGACACCACTGAGCATTTTTTCTTGAATAAAATGAAGTTCATTAAATCTATATTATCCTGTTGCAGTTTAGTGTTACACCTATGGATCATAATACTTTAGTAGTATTATTTTCAATCTTTAGGCGTGTTTTTATACATACTTTATCATGTATTGTTGGTAATTGAGATATTTTCCTATTTACAATACCATACGATTAGTAGTAAAAATATTTTTTGATATAATGAAACGGATTTAACACTAGAACTACCGGCGGATTTTTTTTGTATAGGATGGACCATCTGAAACCAGTTATTTTGACTGATCTTGGTATTTCTAGTGTTAAGGACTTACTTTTTGTAACCCTGAAATGACAATATTGTAGATGTATTAATGTAATACCTTGATCAACTGTTGAGCATAAACTGCTACACGTGTCCATTTAACAGACGCTGAATCTTCTGGTCATTCCTCGCTATGTTTGCCTTTGCTTGGCATATCTTATCTAATTGCATTTTTATGTTGTTCTCGATTGACTTTAAAGTATCCTTCATAGGTCCCACTGATTCCTGTGTCTGGCTGTAGGAAATTTCAGTAAGAACAAACATTATGCTAATGCCGTAGGATTAACCGTAGAAAAACCAATAGTTGCTTTTCACAGACTGTGCAATTATAACAATGTAAATATGTTATTCTTAGATGTAAGATTGTATCAAATAAATATCACGTACATTTGTTCTTTTTCGAACTGCTCCATCAATTGATTATACTCATTTCGTGACTCGTAAAGTTCTCTTTGCATCGTCTCTACGTCTTCCTATATTTTGACAATCATTTAACAGTGATAAAAGCAAGCATATTGTGTACAACTAGAGCTTGTTATTAACTGACAATACTGGATTGATGTGGATAGAAAGAAATACCTGTACGTAATCCAAGAGTTTTCCTAATGGATTAGTAGCTCGTGTCAGTGTCTGTATTTCACTTCTTAGTTTGTCAATCTCTTTAACCACTACTTCATGATCTCGTCTCGAGCCAACTTCCCACTCCTGAAAACGTCTGCACCTAATTATTTGCACGACAGCGTAATATATTTAGGCGAAAATACAAGAAATCATTTGTTCTCACAATTTCAACTTTTTTAGGCAGAACATCAAGGTTGTCCGTGTTAACCAATTCTTTTTGTGTTTCTAAAATTTGTGCCACCAAATGTCCATGTTCTTGCGTTAGTTCTTTCTGCATTTTACTTGTAGTGTCGACTCCCAAGGAATCACCATTTCCTCCAATCTCCATCACCACCATGTCATCAGCATCATCGTCCTTTTGATCGAAGCTTTCAAGTATAACATTAACAGGTCCCATAGGAGTACTAAAAACAAATATATTACCTAGATAATTATATATAATTACATTTCAGAATGATTACTGTTTTACTTCAAGCATTCCTTACGGGCTATCTTCAGTAAGAATAAAATCTGATTTTGTTCTCGTTCTTGGTGCAGCAGGTCTTGCACTCATTGGTCGAGCACTTGGTGGCCGAAGAGATGTTCGTGGTATATTAATTATTGTTTCTGGTACGCTAAGCATTATTATATAATAAGAATTAAAATGCCTATTTCATATTTCTCAAACAAAATACGAGAATTCGCTTTGAAAAGATACCTCGCTTCCTGAGTTTCCTTTGACACTTTTGTCAGATCAACAGGTGTAGGCTCGTTATCACTAGCAAACTGCTTTGCTGCGCTACTGTTGCTCGATTTAGAAACCCTTGCCGACTTATTTCTCGAAGATGCCTTCTCTACTTCTACAGATCCCTTTGCAGATTCTTTTTTAAACGAAACATTCGACTTTGCATCGCCAGCATCCTTTTCTGTTGTTAATGGCACATTAGTTTCGTTGTCTTCCGAGATTACAGATTCATTTGGAGGATCACTTAAAGTCTGCTGTTTTATTTTGTTCTCATGGTGAGATTCTGAAGAATGACGTTTAACTTTGTGGGTTGGAGAACTGGATGTTTTACTAATTGTAGAGTCAGAAATATTTGAAGATACATCTTCTGGTTTTGTCTTAGCAGTAGACGGAACTCTTTTACGCCTAGATGAAGAAACTCTTTCCTCGACTGGCTACAAATAATTAAAATATTTAGGGATGCAGAAATTTAAAAATTCACAGAATATTCCTATGATTATTATAATAATTACTTCAGCTGGAGGTATTTCCACATTTTGGTTCTTATTTATTTCATTATCATTTTCTGAACTTTCACGGCTTTTAGTTTTACTGTTCTCATTGTTTGTTTTTATTTCTTTTGGTGGTACGTTACTGGTACTCGACGATCTTTTCTTGTGTTCTGTTTTCTCTTTTTCTGATGATTTCCTTGTCTGAGAAGATTGCCTTGATAAAGGTTTTTTTATGGGCTGTTCTTTCAATGATGTCTTAGATTTTACTGTACTACGTGTTTTTTTGTCACCGTTCTTTTTGTAGTGTTCAATTGCCTCTGTACTGTTTATCTGTTAGGAAATGCTTACATTTACACTTATATATGAAACTAAACATCAGGATTTATGTAAATACTTGTTTCATTTCTGATACTTTTCTTTCAAGAAAAACGTTTGTTACCTTTTTATTAAGACATTTTCCAATCATTTGTAACAGCTCATTGGTCTTTGTTGGTTCTTGTCCAGAAATAATTTTACTAGCTCGTACTGTTAGATTCGCACCAGTAATTAACTCTGCAATATATGTTTTATCGTAATCTGTAAAACGTGGTATATTTACATGTTTCAAATTACTGAAATACATACTTACTTACTACATCTATTAGTTTTGTTAAGTATGAAAGTTTTGCATCTTTATCTTTGATATTTTCAGAAATCATTTCTTCTTCTGTAAATAAGCCATCAAGAAATCCAGTTTCCTTTATTATCTAAAAGTGATTCACACTGTATTATAATGTCATTATAAAATATTCCTTTAAGTACAGATAAACAGATAACAAAGAAAGTTCTTATTGTATATTATAATAATCGACTGTCTGAAAACGTTAACAAAATTTAACAAAAATAAGTTAGTGCACTTTACAGCAGTAATAATGTCATGCAAAAACCGAAATGGTGGTTTCCTCAATAGTTTCTCCGTGAGAGGTGGCTTTTTAAAGTATTTTCCAAGCAGATCTTGGGTTTTCTTAATCACTTCAGGTTTGACGTCCTCTGACATTGTAAAACCGTATTAAAACAATTAAAAGAACGACGAGTTGTCAGTTTGTCGGGTTAAGTGTTGTTAAACGGTATCCAAGGGCAACGATCACGTGACTTGGCACCAATGACAAGTGACAAGTTGTTATATCGAAAAAAATCAATGGTAACACGAGATCTGATTGAAACGGTGCCTCGGGTACCAGCGGCATCCGCAGGAATAACGGCGCTCGTGTTGCAAAAATTTGGTAGCTGTGTCCCCTTGAGCCTGGCTACTCTCATCTTTTTTCTGTTCAAAGATTAAGATAAAAATGATTAATTACATAAATAAGTTTAAAATAAGCACATCCATTTATTAAGGAAGATATCGATAATAGTTTTGACGTTATTAAAAAGAACAATCTTTATTTTATTCAATTCAAAATTCCTCCAGAAAATGGCGGAGTCATAGCACACTCTCTGATTGGTTAATTCTATGCAATGAACAACAAAGATGAGTTGGGAGATTGCTCTTGAGTTAGGTTGCACGCTCGATTCGGTGCTGCCCTCGGTGGAGAATGCGGTCACCTGATACCCCCTAATGACGGCTAACTCAGGGATCCTCCTCATCTTTGCTTCCAACACATCTCTGAGCTGGGCCGCCATTGGGGGGTATCAGATGGCAAGTGCGATCAAGTGCGTTCCTGCCCGTGAGCAATCTCGCAACTTATCACAACTTATCTCTGTGAACACCTATACTGTATCAAGTCATGTTTATTTTTTTTTATGGCGTTAGTTTATTCAGTACTTTAGCACGCATTTGCGGCTTGTTAATAAATAAATAATATTTGAAATGGATGATGTTTGAGCAGATCAAACACTCAACATGTATCTAGTCATGATAGTATTGTCAATGTTAATTTATATTCAAGCATTTGAGGTATGTCGATTGAATTAATTGTACGTTACGAGTAGTTTATACAGATGTATGTTGAATTATTTTAGGTACCTGATGTATCATCAAAAACAGGACATTCTAACAATTGGGCAGTTTTAGTTGATACCTCCCGCTTCTGGTTTAATTATCGACATGTAGCAAATGTGTTGTCGATGTATCGTAGTGTTAAGCGACTAGGGATTCCTGATTCCCAGATTATACTGATGATCGCTGACGATATGGCTTGTAATCCGAGAAATCCTAGACCAGCCACTGTATTTAATAATGCAAAACAGCATATTAATGTTTACGGTGATGACGTAGAAGTTGATTATAGAGGTTATGAGGTAACCGTTGAGAATTTTGTGAGATTATTAACTGGAAGGTTACCCCCAGAAACACCGAGATCTAAAAAATTGCTAACCGACGAGGGTTCAAATATTCTGATTTATTTAACTGGCCATGGAGGCAATGGTTTTTTGAAATTTCAAGACTCTGAAGAAATCACTAGTCAAGAACTAAGCGATGCTCTAGAACAAATGTGGCAGAAAAGGAGATATCATGAAATTCTTTTTATCGTCGATACTTGTCAAGCAAGCTCCATGTATGAGAAGTTTTATTCCCCAAATATTTTAGCTGTCGCTTCTAGCTTGGTTGGCGAAGATTCTCTTTCGGTATGTAAATTAAACTTATTAATTCTATCAATCTATAAATCCATTAACCACTCCTCCTTATCTAGCATCACGTGGACCAGGCTATTGGGGTCTACATCATAGATAGATATACGTATTATGCATTGGACTTTTTGGAAAGAGTAGAACCTTCGAGTACAAGCACACTTGGTGAATTTGTAAGCATGCAAATATTTTGTTCATTTCATAATGGGTCAGGAAACCCTTTGACATCCGAGTTCAAATGTTTATTCTTTATTTTCAGCTGCAGATATGTCCTAAACGTAACTGCTTATCCACTGTCGGTGTGCGAACGGATCTGTTCATGAGGGATCCAAACACGGTACCAGTGACTGATTTCTTTGGTTCCGTAAGACCAATCGAATTAACGACTGCCAGTATCAACGTTTTATCAGTGAAAAGAAATAAAACCTTGATACCAAAATCAGAAGAAAGACACAGCTATGCCCCACAGTTTCCTGATATGTCTAAGTATTTGCCTAAACTAGATAAAATAAACAATTAAATCCTTCGATAGCGTATTTAGTTAGGAATCATTAAAAGCCGCATTTTGTATAAAACAATGTATTCTGTCAGATTTTTGTACAATCAATCGTTTGGAAAGTCGGAATGCGTCTTGCTAAACTGAATGGCCTTAACCCCTTTCGTGATCAGCATCACATGAGATCAGCTCAGCTGCGTATCTTCCTTACTAGCATCTGCTATAATATATCACAGTTGCCCGAGTAATTACTACATCTGGAATTGGGTCTGGGTCGCCTTGCGTCGATCCCGAAAGAGCGACATCGACGAATCAGAGGGCAAGGTGACTCTCTGACATGAAGTTTTGTCGTTGTGTCGTTATGTCACACAAACCGCGCACTAAGTGATTATGTTTATCTTAAAAAATTATGGAAGCAGATTATCCAGCGTGCACGTGAACAGCACATTATTTCATTCCTTCCACAATTTCAATGAAAACTAATATATAAGTAATGCCTTTTATGTGTCGAGGCGGAAAAATTAATAACCCTTGGAATGTTTCAGAGATAGAAGTTCCGTACTTTTTTCGCAACTTCGTGTAGCATGACATGCCCTGCGTGTGCATGGTCAGGATTTCCCGGAAGTGAAGATTTCCCACATGCGTCAGCATTGCCGAATTTTTCTAAGCGACCTTCCGACAGACACGATACAGACACGGACGGAATTATCATCTCTTCAGCCGTGTGGGAAAAATCTGCCTGCGTCACTTTATCTCCTTTAAATGGTAAACACTTAGCGATGGTTAACGGTCAAGTTTAATGTGGGTTTCTACGTAGCAATCTGCGAATGGTGCCAACAAAAATATCTCGGATGCTGAGCTTGTATATAAAGAACGAGCTCCATGGCGAATGTCAGTACGAGACGTGAGTTCTTAGATCATTGATCTTGACCAGTGCCCTCCATTCATTGCTCGATCCATTCAGTCCATCGCAGAGGACGGTACGAAGCTCGAGGAAGGCAAAAAATCACGTAAACAATCTGCAAGTTATCCAACGATCACTAAAGTAAGAGAATTTAGGGGCATTCCGAAAACAATCTTCATTTTAATGTCATTTCACGAGTACTCGAGAACTCGATAAAAATGATTCCTTTTTTCTTTTTCAGATGCACCACCGGGTGATCTCGTTGCTTGCAGTGGCGGTTGCTGTTTCCGCAGTGCCAGTTAATCGCATGTACATGGAGGTCCACGAGGTGGACTCGAACGAGTTGAACCCTTTGAGCCCTGAGGACCCAGCAAGACACGGTTTTCCAACAGCCCCCACGGTCCCTTTGATCCCGATTTGCGCTAAGCACGGCTATTTCCGGGATCCATTCAACTGCGGAAAATTTTACCATTGCCACAGAAGCGGAGGAATACCGATGGCCTTTTATTGTCAGCACGGATTGATATTCAACATGGATTCCGATTCCTGCGACCGACCCGAGTACGTGAAATGCTAATCAAAGTGGCCCCCTTCAGTTGATCTTCGAGTTGTTCGAGCTCGAGTAAAGAGAAAAAGTATTCCAGTGCGGCATTTCCGAGATTGGCCGGGTATTGCTCGTGCAGAGGTGTCGAATATCTCGGTAGCTAACAGAATACTCAACGTTAACTTATTGTAACATAGTCTAAGCGAACGTCTACTGGGAACCACATTGGTTCCGAGAACCACGTATTACCTAGGTCAAAGAATTCAGAAGTCCCATGGAAACCCAGATCCTATGTTAGCGCTTGATTCTCTAAAAGTTGGCTAACGAACCAGAAGTGGGGGTAAAAGAGAGATCGCATGTGTTAGCCAACGATATCTCACATACGGGAGGAAGAGAGACGCATATAAAAAGGCGAGTATTGTGTGTAAGATAAAGAAAGAATGCAATTCGCTATATATCGCCATAAGATTGAAAGAGATGGAGAGATGATTACAGCGCCGCCACTCGTTGACTAACATACTATTTATCGAGCATCGACGTCCGTGTCCTTCTGGGCTTCTATGGAGACTTTTGAATTCTTTGCCTAGGTCCTATTATTTAAGACGACTCAAAAATATTTATTACGCGACGCACGTAACTCTTCGAAGTGTAACAACTAGATGAATAAATTAACTTAATCTTGTAGCGACACAACATTGGGGCCAGTTTCTAAATATAACAAGTATTTATTCGAGTACGTCCAAGAGCATTGGTACACGAGGCTTCGCCTTCAGGGAGCCATTCGATAGACGTTAAAGCAAGAATTAGCAATAAGCCAAGATTCTGCCGATGCCTCGGACCATTGGGAGGATCCAGGGAAATACTCGACCAGTGTTCCCGCTGGATCTAATCTCGTCTAAGGTGGACAGCAGCTTTAGGAATCAGTCTCTTCGGGTACAAAATCAGACATCGGTGTCATCGCTCGACGCGTCGCCGTCCACGAAGAATCCGCAAACCGCTCGAGCTCTCCGTTTCCAAGACATCCCCGTTCTCCAAGCTCCTCAAGCTGCGTATCCGGTCGATCTCCGTCATCACTTCATCAGAACTTCCATCGGGATTCGAAGGACCTAGCATTGGACCTGGTCAGCGTAGTTGCAGACGTTCTGGGCTGGGTCAAAGGCCAACTCGCCGGGGCACCGGAATTCGGCAGGCTGCTGCTCTCCCGCGAAGTTGCAGTAGTAGAATTTACTGCAGTCGACCGGGTCTCGGACATATCCTTGGGCCGAGCAGAGACCTCCGGTCGAAGAGCCTGGTGGTTTGCCAGGGTTGCTGGGGTAGCTGGGCTGAGTGCTGGTATATTGAGGCTTGTTCGTCACAGGACTCGCTGGTGGGTTGGGCTCAACTGGCACCGCAGGGCCATTTCGAAGCACGTGGTTCAAGGCCTTCAGCAAGGGGTACTGGGTACCGCACTTGCCAAGGAAGTCGTCGGTGTCTATGCTCCACAGCATGGCTCCTCCCAGGTTCTTCTCCAGCACGAATTTGGCCTTCAGCTCGATGGATCTGGAAACGTGGATGCGTTGTAGGATGACGAGACATGAAACTCCCCGATAAACATAATCCAATCTTGGAATGATTTGATGGATGTGACGGAAATTGCGCTCTTCGGAAATGCCTGATATCGTTTGGGGGGGGGGGAGACGCAAGTTTTCCCGTTAGATAATTTCATGTTACGGATATTCCTGATAACGGTGGAGGAAGTTCGCGCCGCTCGGAATGTTCCGTGACGCTTTCCTCACTGGGAATGATACGTAGGAATGGGTTGATAAGGACTATGACGATGTATATGAAATTGCTCTGCCATTTTTACCTCACGTTGTCGTATCCGACCCACTGGTCGCCGCTGTAGGCGTATGGCACCTGTTGCTCCTCGTCCCACTGGCTGGTCCAGCTGGGCAGCAACTCGCAGATCTCGTTGTAACCTAACATGCCAGCTTCTTTGGTGTATATTCCACGATCTCCTGGTCCTCTCGCGGGGGATCCTGGAGTGACTCTGTTGGGGTCGCCGAGGGTGAAGCTTCTTCCGTAAAGCGGGGTTCCAAGGATCAGTTTCTGAGGGTCTGCTCCCTGGCTCAGCCAGTAGTTGACCGCAGCTTCCTACAAGAAATATGGAAATATCGAAATTAATACCACTCGATCAAATTCTAATTTCCATCCGAAGATGAAAAGTTGGTTGACTCGAAGAAATATGCAGGACGACAAGATCCTGCGATCAAATACGTCCGAAGAAATGCCAGACTGAGTGAACCAAATTATTTGAAATCAAGAAGAATTAGTTTAAATCGGTATGAATTATTGCTTCTGAACAGAATAATTATCTCTTGCAATTATGTGCGATTCGAGTTATAATGCACACTTGTTTCATCCAATTAATCCTTTTTCTCAGTGAAGTTGCAATTATTTTAAGTCAACAGGAATTCCTTTAAATCGACATAAATTTCTCTTCCCAACGGAATAATTGTTTCTTGCAATTATATATGGTGTGCGCAACAATGTATACTCGTTCCAGTCAACTAGTCTTTTCTCTTGGTGCAGATACGAGACGCCGAGGGTGTACTTACGACGTTCAGGGACCTCTGGAAGCCATGCTCGTCGGACCTCGGCTTCAACGGGGCGTTGATGCCTATTGTCTTCTCCCAGGAGCCGTGCAGGTCGTAGGTCATAAGGTTGATGAAGTCGAGGTGCTGGGAAATAGCCTTGATGTCGTAGGACTGGGATGCCGAGGACTCGGCGGCTCCGACTGCGGCACTTAGCAAGAGTCCTTTGGGGGCGAGTCGGGCCTTCAGCTCCTTCAGGAGCTGGACGAAGTTCTGCACGTCTTCTGCGGATCCTCCTCTCTGGGCGGGGTATTCCCAGTCGACGTCGAAGCCGTCGAAGCCGTACTTCTCGACGAAGTTCACCACGTTGTTCACGAAGGTCGACCTCAGGCTCGGGTTCTTCATCACCGCCGAATACTTTATGGATCCTTCGTTCCATCCTCCGATGGCCACCAGGGTCTTCGTCGTTGGACTCAACTGCTTCAGCCTGTTGAACTTACCGAAGCCGTCCTTTCCGTAGTCGTTTGGAAGGTCGTTCCATGCGTCCAGGATCTTCACCTCTCCTTGCTCGGAGATTCCGACGAAGGTGTAGATCATGTGCGTGCACAGGGTCGGGTCGATGTACGAGATGTCGAATTTCCCATTGCCGGGCCGGTAAACCGCCCAGCTGCCGTAGTAGCAGACTATCTTCTCTGGAAAAGGTCGAAGAAAAATTGACGGTATTTCTGGAGTCACGTGGTAGATAATTTGTGCCTGAATAAGCTTAAAAAAATTTGGGAATTTAATCGAACGCCTTTACGAATGAACGCCAACGAGTAGGAGAAGCGGATGAGTGTTTTAGATATATTCACTCGATGAAATGCCTTTTTTTAAATTTCTTTTTATAATTTCCATCACTTACTCTCGCCTGCAGCCACGGCTGCGAAGGCCGCTAAAACCGCCAACAGTAATCCGCGCATCTGAAAATAATGAAATTATTGTATTAAGAGATTATTATATTTCTTATTGACTTCTTTATGTAGATATTAAGTGTGCAGCCGAATTTTGGCACCGATTCGGAACCCTCCAAGCTTCCTTACCTCGAGTGCTTTCCAACGAAACTGCCTCGGATTAGTCTCGCGAGAGTTTTTATTTCGTTTCAAGAGATCTTGGGACATCCAAAACAAAGCGCGAGCATTTGTACAGTTGCCGAAGAATAAACCCGAAGGACTGTGCGTTTCAAGATCAGTCGATCTGAGCGATTGCGAAATGTTGAATCTAGATAGCGAAGGCTTGATGCGTGATAAGAGCGTTGCAGGTATATGACACATAATATTGCCGCAGGTGTTAACAATCGATTTTGATGGCTAAGATCTGCCCTAATCGGATTAAATAAAACGGCGATTGATCTTCGATTATGCAAATTGGAAAGTGCCCCATACCGCTAATCAGCCTGTTCCAAAGATTTCACTTTTCCTTTTTTATTTCTAAAGAGGATTTCTATTTTGAGAATTCCAGTGACAAGAGACCCTGAATTTAAATGTTCCACGACGCATGAATTGGATCTTGCCATGGAGAAATAGTTTTCATGGACTCTTCTCTTGAGGATCTGGTTGTAAACGGTCGATTTCCTTTGTTTCCTATGCTTTTGTTTAAAAAGAAAATTCGGAAACACCCCGCACCTGAAATTTTGTCCGAGTTTCACGAGAGCTTTTGGTACGAATTATCAGAGATAATTGCAGGAAGTTGCAACGATATCGGGGTTTTGGCTGATCGGATTCATCGGGACAATTTTTATACACGGATGTTGGATCAGTTAACAATTTTACCCGGAAGACAATGAAGCGGATAATCACGCGAAATGTTATTATCATGTCACAAATATCACGCGGGATTAAAATTGATCGGTTTATTGTTGACGATGAAGTCAATCGTGAGTAATGGAAACGCATTGTCACGAATTTCGACAACGGCCTTGTTGCCACGATTATCAATTCATATTTAGACAATGGACCAGATGTCGATGAAAATTAATCAATATCAACGTACATTTTTCCCACATGTGGACATGTGGGCAAATAATTAATTCCGCATGAGCGTTGGTGAATAATTCTCCTTGAGTTCTGGGAATATTATCGTACGGTAATTACGTTACGCAATGGGAATGTGTTAAGCAGGCTAATGCGCTTTGATAATGGAATTCTCTTACGTATTTTTCTGGAGCGGGATTAACGAGCTTTAGCAATGAATAGAATTTTTTTTTTCCGAGAGTTCGGAAAGAGTACTTAGTCAATATAGGTACATTTAGATTATGCCAATCGTTTTATTGTAGTTTTTCTTCTTGCGTTTAAGAGGAAATTGATTATCGAACGTTCTCAGACTTTCTGGAATCGTGATACAAGCACGAGTCATCCTGATATGTAAATAAAAATAACGCTGAGTGGACCTATCTTTGAAGTTATACTTTTTATTAGCAAGGCAATTGGAAAGGTCATGTAGCATTGCGTTTATAAGTTTTTTAAGGACGTATCCATAAGATTTATTAATTCCCTTATGGTACAGTATTTGAATGGCAACGATTATTGTATAAAACACCCAGTTGTCATAATTCTGACTTCCATCTTCCAGCTGTTCTCCCAGGTGTTGCCATTCTGTTAACAGAAACATTTTTTTTATTACATCGAAACCCATTACACATTAGACTTGTATAATTCTAGTTCTTTAAATATTCAGTGGACGATAAATGTCTTTCAATTTGTGTTCAGAAGACCGTCGTCAAGCTCATCATTAAAACTTCATACTTGAATAATTCGAAGAAGTTACGTCAGATTCTAATTAATTTGTAGAACTATAGAGGAGCAATTAATGTAAGGAAAATTTAATAAGAAACTAACCAACGTCTGTTTCATCAAGTATCACTTAAAACTTCTTAAAACTTTTTTTCGATCCAGTTCCCTTGGAGACCTTTAAAACGTTGAATCTAACAGTCTTGCTAAGAGGTCGACATTCGCCAATTGTCACGACGTCACCAATCTCCACATCTCTGAAACAGAAACAGTTCAATTTTATATACAGGAGTAAAAATATTTCATACGAAAACGAATTATTTTTGAAACTCAGAAAATGACAATTGACATCAATTTGTTGTCAGAAGACCGTCGTTATTTTCATCAGAGTGAATGATGTTCGGATAAAAATTCATTTACCAAGATATTCTTGGAAGACTTACCTAAAGCAAGGACTGAGGTGAACACTCATGTTTCTATGTCGTTTTTCGAATCGATTATACTTCCGTATATAATGTAGATAATCCCTTCTTATAACAATGGTTCTTTGCATCTTCATCTTTTGTACAACTCCAGTGAGGATACGTCCTCTAATCGAGACATTACCAGTGAAAGGACATTTCTTGTCGATGTAAGTTCCTTCAAGGGCCTATGAAGAAACAATTTGTAAACATATAAATCCACCCTCTTCAAAGAAGAAAACTTTATTTACAGTATTTACCTCACGTGGTGTTTTAAATCCCAGGCCAACATTGCGACTGTATCGCATAGACTTCCGGCGCTTTGGTCCAAGGCCTTTCTTGCGGTTAAGAAAGACTGTTGGTTGCCGTTGGAATGAACGCTCGGTCTAGATAAAAAGAAAAACCATTTTTTTTTTCAATATCCTTTTACATTTTTAGTAGAAGAAACGCAGCGAAAAATCACATTAAGCCATGCCTCGTGGGTACAAATTAACATAACCTAAGAACCCACGTAAAGCCTTTTTAAGAGTATCGGCGATATTTTGACCCCGTACAAGGGAACATACTTGATAATTACATTTTCATAAAACCCGAACGCATCGTATAAATGTGCAAATTACAAGCGAAGACGCGAAAACCACGTGTCAGGTAGTTCTAAGGAAAACATGATTCTACAAAAATCAGTATCAGGGAAGGCATAATTTACTGGGAATGCATTATCACGGGAGCACAAATCACTGCGCCACTATTAATTTTTTCACGCCACGCTGAGATACGCGAGAAATTCTTCATTCTGTCAGACTTAACAGGAGCACACATACCTGGTCAGCCATCTTGATTCGTTGAAAGAGCGAACCGGAGGCGGAAGTTCAAAAGCGTCGAATCGCCCGCTGGCGCTGCCATCTGTGGGAGAACTGATGAATTACAAGGCGGTTTCCATTTTCTAAATTCCATCTGGATTTATCGATAAAATATTTCACTACACTGAATCAAAGCAATAGCAATATGAGAGTATTAACAGAGTCAAGACATTAACGAGTCCATAAAGAACAATTGAATGAAGTCGAAGTGACAGAATTGAGAGGATGTGAAACTGGCATCCGAAAGGTCAATCGTTCATGAAACTTTTCTACGAACTGGGTGTACCGAATCGTTTCAAACTTAACAAAGTGAACACGGAGGCTCTAAGGAAGGTCTTGACACTTATGAAATTTCATTTTTTATAAAACACGTTGAAAATGTCTATAAACAAATTTTTTAAAACTTGAAATTTTATGGGTGCCAGGACCTTTATAGTCTTCATATACACATTGTCAAGTTTGAAGCGATTCGGTACACCCATTTCGGAGAGAAATTTCATAAACGAGACTTCTTTGACGCCACTTTCACATTACCTTAAGAAGATGTAATGACGATTGGGTGACGTACATAACCACAAAATATCCAATCAGCGCAACAACAGAAAAAGTACATCTCGCAGTTTACAGCGTATCGGGGTTAAGCCCAGCGTTAACCCCGCCAGTGGAAACTGTTAAACCGAGAAATCATCGTGCAGGTAACAAAGGGTAATTCGACACACTAGTTATAAGGAACTTCCTAACTTGCGCTAATCGAGCAGGTTGCGTTGCGCAGAAGGAGGGGAGGTCCCGATTTTTCAAGACACTTGTAGCGCCCCATGGTTTTGTTCTCCCACGGGAGAAAAATAAAATTCCCTCCCGGAGCCCATCGACGCGGCTGGAGTCTGGAAGGTAATGGTAAAATGAAATATTTCGTGCTACATCATTCGAGCCCTTTCACGCATGGAATAAAGCGTCGGGGATTTTTCTCTAGGTCGGTAACATCCCGGGAATGGAAGTCGAACCGGCCAGGCACCTACAAGAAAGTACACGGGTACCTAAGGCACCCCTCGCTCGCCATAGGTGGAATCGTCTTGCGGTTGTCTACGACTGATGCAGACAATTCCAACTTTTACGCCCGTTTAATGTGACAGGTGCGAAAATATGACTGCGTGCACCGGGCTCGTACGCATAGCGTGGGCACGCGATAAAAGCGGGTGAGATTATAACGCGGAGACCTACATATAGAACGGCCGGCGTAACACAGAGGACCCTGCTAATTTATTTAACCCTGCACTTTCAGAGGAAATCCGACTCCCTGTAGAAGAAGCATTCAGAAGTCTGCAGCAAGTGTCTACCCTGAGAAAAAGAAATTCATTGGACCAGAGAAATATTTTGTTAATTTAAAGAATAATCGTTCAACTCAAAGAAACTCAAATAGATTGTCACCGCTCCGAAGAAACGTTGCATACGATTTATTCGAGTTTGAGTCAAATAATTATACTTTAAATTAACAAAATATTCATCGTCCAAAGAAATATTTCTCTGATTCAATGATATTCTATTCTCGGCGTACCCAGGACCAAGGATGCGAAACTGGTATTTAAAAGGATTACGCAACTCAATTTTTGCATATGGATCCTCAATTAATCTTCATATAATCGACATATTCCCGGTGCATCCAGGTACACGAGCGACGAACAGATGGACGGCCGAGACGGACAAAGCCAGCGTTCAAAGCCTCTCCTCCGTCTGCTCGACGTGCGAAGAATCCACCTCGGCGCAAGGGTGTGACTGTAAAGCGACGGGTAAATCGAGACCTTCCGGCAGTCCGCCTAGAGGAATGCAGATCCATTTTCGCCGGGTCCTAGAAGCGGATCCTCCCTCCCTAAAGTTGACTCCTCGATCCAGGATGTCGGACGTATATCGCGTGTCGAGCTCGCCCAGGGAGACCAACGGGGCTCTCGTATATCCGGCCAGTGCCTTGGACGACGTTCCTGCGTATCGGCTGCTCTCTTTCTCCACTTTGCGAGGGACTTCACGATTGCACTCCGTATTCGTGCCGATGATCCGGGATTAAATGCACTCGGTGACCGTTCCCTCGCTAACGGTCACCAGGAGAACTTCAAGGAGACACGCGAGGTCTGGGCCATAAGAGTGGACCCTGAAGGGACGACGAGGAGGAAACACGAGAAGAGGCTGGACGGAACTACCTACGGTAATTACGCTAAGTTAGCATAATCTAATAATAAGCGAAATCGAAGAGACTTCCGACAGCGACCGATATTTACATGTCCTCGTGTCTTCGAGGTAGCCGACTAAAAAGATTTACTTAACGAGCGCTTATCAGTATATTATTTAAAGAAGGCATAGGCAAAAACCGCGATTTCTAGGAAAACGTCGATCCAGGTCGCTGCCGGGGTCTCTAGACGACCGTTTTGTTCCCCTTCGTTAGGGACCGAAGAAACGCGACCTTGAAGGGGAAACAAGATCCTAGTCTGGTTTATGAGGCGCAAAATGTCTTCGACACTCTTCTTACCGATCCTCCTTCTCTCTCGCGAGGTGTCGGAGAATTCATGCCGGTGTGAGAGCCGTAGGACGTGGCAGGGATCGACATTGACTAAATTCGCCGCCCTGAAGTCGTTCCAGGACCTCGTTTTAGGATAGACGAAGATAGTTAGGGCCCTCTCGCCATTTCCGTGAGAAAGTCGAGACTCTTCGGTCCCAAGGTGGCTCTCGGGTAGTTTTTCCGAAGGCCGTAGCCTTCCGTTTCCACGTAGAAATCGCGGCCTCGCGATGCGGCACGCGGGCTCGTTAATAGAATCAAGAAGATCTCATGCCTCTCATCATCGCGAGGCAGGAGGGAATTCATTTCTCGAATATTTCCCGAGCGCGGCTCCTTTCCACGAACCACGTCACAAGGAGACGCGCCGTGGAAGAGAATAGGATGGCTTCCTCGTCGAGTTTTTACGAAGTCGAGGACTGGGCATGCACCGAGCATGCACGGGGTATGTACGTGGCCTGGACCAGGGCGCACGCACATTGCCAGAGGCCGAGACGTCCATAGGCGTCGACTTTTCCTAAGATATAATCCAAGTGCCCCCTGGATATCGAAAATGAAAAAGTCCCCTAGTTTTTCTCCTCTCCCAAGATTTCGCAAGTTTTCTCCCTGCGAGGTCCACTGAACTATATTCATGCTGGAACGCAACGAGGAGGGTCTTGTAAGGTACTTGTGTCCTTTTCTCGCATCCTGTCCCTCGAACCGTATTACTGACGTCCAGATATTGACTGTACAGGCATGCACAGGGATGGTAGGTGTAATACATCATGTAATATGCGTGGTTTCTACGTGTATATTACAAGGTATAATACGTTCCGTAATAATGTAGAAGGCGTATGTCGTGCACCTGCGGCGTCTTCCATATTGGAAACATAATTTACTTTTTTTCTACGATTTTTCTTGTAAACTACTTGGTTTACGTAATTTACGTCGAAAGCCTCAATAAACGCGAAATTACCCAACCTTTCATTGATGTGCTGAAAAAAACGAGGGGATATTCATTCAGGAAATCACGGATTTTAGTGCTCGAAGTTACGTGGAAATCAGCTGGAAATCGTAAGCAGAAATGGCTGGAAATCTTTAGAAATGACCGAAACATTCTCACAATTTTAAGGCCGAATGTCCCTTGTTACCTAGTAATATTATTGTTTATCACATGAAATCAAAGGCAGTCGGTTCTTAAAGAAGGAAATCGTTTTCACTGATTTCAAGTGAACAGCTCCTCGAGAAGAAAAGAAGGGACACGAATCCCGCTGGGATTCTCTCTCTCTCTCGACGCGATTTCACAGTATGAGTCCAGTGTCGAGGTCGGAAACATCGATTGTTAACATTCGAGTCGCGTCCCGAAGAAATAAAGGAGGAGAAAAAACAATGGACCTTGTCCGGTTGCCGTTCCTGGGATTCTGCCCCGGCGACTCGGCACAGGGCGCCTATGCCGGCGCCCTTATGCGAATCCGGCATTCCCATGAGCAATTATCCCGTAATTATTATTGCACCGAGCGCGTCAGCCAGTTAAATGGGATTCGGGGACCGTCGGGGGAGATTCGCGAGTCCGGAGTCGGCCTCGTTAATTCCGGGATCCCGGCAAAGGGCTGACAGAGGGAGCGAGGGCCGATAGCGGCAAGAGGGCCAGCTCGTAAATCTACGCGATAAAACGCGGTATGCGCCCGCTCGAAAATTCAATTAGGCCGTCGGTCTCTCTCCCTCGCTCCGAGTTCCTCGGCGCGTCTCTCTCGCTCCCACGGGGACCGGGTCTTCGGCGGTTTTTCGACCCCTCGGTCACTTTTTCGACTAACGACGTCGTTACTAATCCCGCGACAGGCGCGCCTACGTGCCGAGCTGCGGCTCGCGGCAGTAAGAACCGAATTTCTCGAGTGCCGAGCCGACTTCCATGCGAGCCTTAGGCTCGTGGAACATCCGAAGGCCTTGCCTCTTCCCCGGAAATCGCTCCGCGAAATCCCCGACGGAGGCACGAACCTCTTGGGACCGTCACGGAAGGGCAAGCGAGCCGGAGCTCGGCTCTCGAGAGGCGCAGCCTGAATTATGAGAGCCTAATGGCCGTATCGATTTCCAGGAGTCCGTATTTCGTCCCCGTCACTTGGGAGGCACCTATCTCGGCACCTCTCGCTGCGGCGAGACGCAGACCCCCCCGTTCAGGTGCCAAGGAGGGCACAAAAGCGGACAAGAAGCGCGACAAGGAGTCTACGAGCCTCTTAAAGGGATGCGTTACACACCTCGGCGCGAAACGATGATGATGTCTTTTGATGCGAGAAGGAGGAGGGCCTTCGGAAATGGAGGTAAGAGAACTCGCTAACGCGATTACAATGGCTCACTCTCGGGTCCTGGGACCGGGCGCTCGTGAATGTCCGTACCGCTTGGAAAACAACTGAAATATAACGTTGATTAATGACCGCTTGACATGCACGCTCTCGCCTGGAGGGGTGTACATAC